AGAGAGGGAGTGACAGGGACACAGGAGGAGTTTGGTAGGGCTGGAAATTACATGAATATAATATGAACCTAGGAATTCTCAAGTAGTATTTTTTTTAAATATTTATTTATTTATTATGTATACAATATTCTGTCTGTGGGTATCTCTGCAGGCCAGAAGAGGGCACCAGACCTCATTACAGATGGTTGTGAGCCACCATGTGGTTGCTGGGAATTGAACTCAGGACCTTTGGAAGAGCAGGCAATGCTCTTAACCTCTGAGCCATCTCTCCAGCCCTCAAGTAGTTTCAAAGTATGTTCATACTCCTGACACATGGGAGTGCTGTAGCAGACATAAACACCAGCCTGGGTTGAACCAAGTAGTCAAGTGACCCTGGATTGGGAGTTCTTGTGGCCAGCCAGGTTGCCTGAATGAAATGTACATACCTTATGGATATGGGGCTGTGGGTAAGATGTATGCTTATACGGTCCCTTGGGAATCCGTTCCAAAGTGAAGAATTTGGAAGCTTCACTTTCTAAATGGCCTCTCATCATGAAAACGCATAAATAATAAAACCTCCTGAGTAATAGTGAGAGCAATGAGAAGCATCAGCACCTTGCTGATCCAGCATAATTCGTCCCTCTCCTGGCTCACCCTTGCCTGTGTGTCCTTGTATAACACTGTGAACTGGCAACTACTTTCCACACTACCATCATATAAAGCAGCTCTACACAGTTCCACAGGATCATGATTGCTAGACAAAATTCTCACAGCTAACATGTGGCTGTAGGGCTGGGCGTGGAGTGGTAGAGCACTCTGCCTAGCGTGTGTGAAATCCAGAGTTCCATCCCCAGTGCTAGAGTCGGGGAAACTACGCAAAATGGTAAAAGCCTGGTTTCTGGAACCAGAATGCTTAGATTTGAATCCCAGCTATGCCACATACCTGCTGTGTTACCTAAACAAGCCAATTAACCTCTCTGTGTCTTTGTTTCTTCATCTATAAAACAGAGCAACACTAGGGCTTGCGTAAGAGGACAGTAAAAAAAAATTAAATGGTTTGATATATTAAATCTGCCAGAATGGGGCCCAACATATAACAATTGCTGACTATATTATGTGGAGAATTATTAAATAAATAGGGATATTTTTTCCAGGCTGAGCTTTCATTGGCTATTTCTAGCTTCTGGAACAACACTGGTTTATGTTTTTGATTGTCAGATTGTCACAGTGACAATCTGTGGGGTGATAATTCGGTTGGTAGATGGGTACTGTGCTTGTAAGAGGACCTGAGTTCAATCCCCAGAACCCACAGAAAAGTGCTTAGATTTACAGCCACGCATGGTGACTCCCATCAGTGCTTCTAAAGACTGTGGTCAATTTGGACTAAATAGTGACTTCTAGACCAGCCTTCAATTCAGGGTGAGATCCTTCCTCAACAAACAAACAAACAAACAAACAAACGGGTGTGGTTGTGCACACTTACAACCTTAACACTAGGAAGGACGAGCTAGGCAAGTCCCTGGGGCCTGATGGCCAATTGGCCTGGCCTAGTTCAGGCCAGTGAGAAACCCTAACAAAAACAACAAAAAACAGAGCCAGACAGATAGATGGCTCCTCTGGTCTTTAGACAGACAGACAGGCAGACACACACACATACAAGATTTGTCACAAAAGTTCTAACCATAGTGATGAAGCATCCAGGGACATGGCTCTGTCCCTGAAGTCCCTCTGATCCTTTTTGTTACCAGTGTCATCTGCACTCAGCAACAATGTCAAGCAGAGCCTTTGGGCAGCAGCTTCAGGGGCACCAAGACCCTTTCTGTTACGGATCTCTGTCTAGGGGAAGCATGGAAGCATAGAAACTGAAGATCCCCTATGTGTCCACAAGAGGCTGTGCTCTGAATACAGTTCATTTAATTCACAAGATAGTTTGAAAAAGTTTCAAAGACTCTGAATCAGAAAATATCATACACACACAATGTACATCAAAGATTTGCCTTAATTCATCACAGAAGGGCCAGTCTTTAGCTGGCCTGAAAAGTCCCTGTGGCTGTCCCTCAGCAGGGACATTACTCAGAAGTGAGCACTCGTGTTTCTGAACACCGGTATTTCTCTGCAGTGTGACCTGCCCTATGCATGAGCACTTTTGAGGCCAGCTAAAGCCTTGTCTCCTTTACTAAGGACATCTATTGGGAGTTGTTTATCTGGTCGCAAGCCTGTGGGGAATGGATGGGGAAAGAACTTTCCCCTCCCTTTAGCTTAAGACTTAGGCAACCCGCGTGATTGCCACCCTCCTGTTGACACTGCCTGTTTCCCATAATGTAGGTTAAGCGATTCTAAGATTATAGATAAACTAAAACACTAGTGAGACTCCCCTGAGGCCAGACTGGACTCAGCTCTTGGTATAGGAGGAGCAGATTCCAACCACCCACCTCCCTTGTTTTGTTTGTAACAGTGTGGAGAGATGCTAACGGCTGGGTTGACCAGATGGCTCCATGGATAAAGGCTTGTGCCTTTATCACCAAATTTGATAATCTGAATTCCATCCCTGTGACCCACAAGTTAGAAGGAGAGAACCAACCCCTACCAGTTGTCCTCTGATCTCCACACAGCACAGGGACACAACCACTCCCTGCCCATCACAAACACACCACCAACTGTAGCTTAGCCAGCACCCCTTGAAAACAGCTACAGCTTCGTGTTGACTTCATAATAAAAATAGATGATCCTTTTCCTGTGGCGCAATCTTTCAGAATAACTCTCCCATAACCTTTTTGTCCCTACATGAACATGAACAACTGAGATGCTGAGAGAAGGTGTAGCGATTCACTGTGCACACAGTGGGGATGGGCTAGAGTCAACGCTCAAGCCTGACTGTCTCTTTCTGAGCACCCGGGCAGGGCAGGAGGAACATGTGTGCAAAGTGGCACCCACAACACCAGCTCCCTTCACAAAGAGCTGACTCTGGATTGTGTGCCCTGACACGGGTCATGTCTGCAATGTCGTATTGAACCAACTCGCCATGTCTGCTTTTCAGAAGGAATGCGGTGGCTTTGTGCCTGTTTGTGTGTGAGGAAGCAGCTTCCAGCCCTGCCACAAAACAAGCAGCACAAAGGACCCGGCTAGATCCTGGTTTTTAGGCAAGGTCTCCTATATCCCAGGCAAGTCTCAAACTATCTACATAGCTGAGGATGACCTTGAACTTCTGATCATTGTGCCTCCAACTGTTGGGTTTGCAGGCAGACACCTGTAGGCTTTGTTTTGTGCAGTGTTAGAGATAGAACCTAGCTAGGTAAACCCTCTACTGACCGACTGAACCACATCCCTTGCCTGGCTGGATTTGAACAAAGGAATGGTGCTGTAGTTTGTATCTGGAATGTTCCACTCTACCTCCATAGCACTCCCATCCAGAGGTAGATGAACCTAGAGGAAGGTCTTCAGGTCATCGGGGTCAAGCCCTAGAAGGGATGTATATGACACCATCCCCTTCCCTTCTCCCTTTCATGCATGCCGTGAGGCTGAAAATTTGCTCTACCGTGCACTTCCTTGTGTGGGATACCTCACACCCAAAGCAGTGAGACTAATCTGCTATGACCGAAACTGACAAAGCATTTCTAGATGTTCAAAAGCAAGGGGCACCAGGTTGCTTATGGACCTTAAAGTCCTAGAGTGTCCGTGTCTGTCACAAACAACGTTATACTCACACACATCCCAGGCACAACCCCCTTGTATTCTTTTTTTTTTTTTTTTTTTTTGGTTTTTCGAGACAGGGTTTCTCTGTGGTTTTGGTTTCTATCCTGGAACTAGCTCTTGTAGATCAGGCTGGTCTCGAACTCACAGAGATCTGCCTGCCTCTGCCTTCCGAGTGCTGGGATTAAAGGCGTGCACCACCACCGCCCGGCTCCCCCCTTGTATTCTAACCCATCTCTTTATTTATAGCCTCCAGGGAATGCAAACACTTTGTAAATGGTTGCTCCACCATACTGTCTAAAGAACAGCTGCAAGAGGAAAAGCCTGAAGGAGACACAACCAATCTCTTTTCAGCATTTTCCATCTGGAGCCAGCCCATGATAGAGGTAATCAGCTGCCCTGCGTCAGCTTGGTACCTGGTTACTGTGAAACTCTGCAGTGTCCCTAGGGGACCTGTGAAGCAACATATAGCTAATGAGTGTGGGAATGGTCAAGTCGCCAGGAACTGAGGCCACAGCCAACAAGCCAAATGAGCTCTTTCACCCCAAGATGTCAGGGTGAGACAGGTCTTTGTTTCAAAATATGGGTTTCTGGGCAGGAAATAAAGATGCTTGCAGCCGAACCTGACTACCTGAATTCTCTTCGTGGGACTCATATGGTAGAAGGAGAAAACTGACTCTCCCAAGTTGTCCTCTGACCTCCACATGCATTCTACGGCAGGCATGTGCATCATAACACACACACACACAATTTAAAACTTTCAAAAATAGATTTTATTACTTAGAAGAATTTTACATTTATCGAAAGATTGGGAAGGCCATGCAGGGCCCCATAAATGCCACATATAATTCCCCGTCGCTAACATCTTGCTAAAAATGAGCACAAAAGCAATTCATCTCAGTCATGACAGAAATTTTAGAAACAAGGACTATGCATGAATGCTCAGGACACAAATTTGGTTGGAAAGGAAAAGGCTTTCTGGAAAGGGAATCTTCAGGGATTCAGGGAAAGGAAATTCAGGTCACCCTCTGTCAGAGAAAAGAGGCAGGCTGCTAGCATCTGACAGATGTCTGGGGTGTGTTGTTCGTGAGGATGGTAGCCCTCCCCTCCACACACGCTAATCTCGTCCACATGGTTAAAGGGGATTTTTCCATGTACGATGTATATCAGTGTCCAGTCTGTCCTGACACCCGTAGGGAATGTGTCTTGCCATAAAGGAATACAAGACAGGCACATTTACTAGACTTGTCTGCATGGAGGGAGGCTAATAGGATTTAAGGGTTTTTCTATTGCTACTTTATCACATCCAAATAGCACACAGTCTGCAGGTAAGAGGAAAATATTGTAATTTAATAAATCCCTTGCTTCCCTCATCCCCTACAACCCATGTACGTGTGTTCCTGTGTGTGCATGTGTTGGGGGCAGGGCATGTGAGAGTAGAGACCAGAGGCCAGTGTCGTGTCTTCCTCAATCTTTCTAATCACTCTCCACCTTAATGTTTGTGACAGGGTCTCTCCCTGAACCTGGAATCCACTGACTTGGCTAGACTGGCTGCCCAGCACCCCGGGGACCCGCCTGTCTCTACCTCCCCAGCACTAGGTTCTAGGGATGCACTACAACATCTGGCTTTCTCATGTGTGTTCTGGGGATCCAAAAGTGGGTCCCCATGCTGTTACAGCAGGCACTTGGTCAACTATGCTGGCTCTCCAGCCTCAGGCTTCCTTACTTCTTACCTAAAGTCCTTTCTCTGCTCCAGAATCCCAGGACATGTCACGCTGAGGCACAGTGACTCTTGGGGTGCCTCTTGGCTATGGCAGTTTCTCAGACTTTTGTTTTTCATACTCTGGATGCTTTGAAGGATGGCTATCCAGGTGTTCTGGGGAATGTTCATTTATCAGAACCATTTGATGTTTTTTTTTTTTTCCTTATGATTAGAATGGGGCTCTGGGTTTGGGAGGAAAAAGAGGGGGGAAACACTAACGTCAGATAGTCATCTCATCAAACTGTATTATAAAGGAGCCAGGGATATGAGTTCTCCATCAAAGAGTTGGGTGCGGCGGTACATGCAGATAATCCCAACATGGGGGGCAGGCAGGCTCCCTGGCCAGCCTGTCTAGCCTTCCTAGGCCATTGAAAGGCCCTGCCTCAAAAGCCAAGGTAAATAGTCCTTGAGGAATAACAGCAGAGGACCTCTGGTGTCCACACACGTGCATGCTTAGGCATGTGCACCCGCGCACATGCAACTTGCCTACACAAACTGTAGCATTAATGTGATTGTGACCACTGACAAACCTTTTTTTGTATGTAGTGTGTTCGTGTCCATCCACATGCATATACACATGAGTTAGCCCGTGTGTGCAGGTGTGGAAGGCTGAGGTAGATCCCAGGCCTCCTCCTCTGCATTCTCCACCTTACTTTTTGAGACAAGGTCTCTCACTGAACCTGAAGTTTGCTATTTTGGTTACAGTGGCTGGCTACTGATCTCCCATGATCCCCGTGTCCATCCCGACTCCTATCTCTGGGCTGTAGCTGCTCAGCACCATGTCCAAGTGTGTGCTGGGGATTTAAACTCAGTTCTTTGTGTTTATGAAGCATGCACTTTACCCACTAGGCTGTCTTCTCAGCCCCTATTGGTTGGATTTTGGTGGCCAGAATGAAGCAATATGCACCAGGGCTTCCCTGCACAGTTGAGAAGGGACCTCTGGGTGCAAAAAGCGCCAGGGCACCTTCTTCACAGTGTCCCCAAAAATGAGCTAGCAGTGGGAATGAGGCCGCTGGCGGGGGCGGGGGGGTCCCACAAAAGAACCGATGATAAACTCCAGGGCCCTCAGATGTGTTGTTCATTGAAAGCTTGCTGTGAACTTTCTCCACTGCCCCCCGCCCAACCTCACCTATATTCTCTTCGCAGTTTTGAGGGCAATTCTCACGGCAAGGCTGTATGTTTCTGGATGATGGGATTAACAGAGGGATGCAACAACCCCTGGATAAACTGGTTCTGCAAGGCCAGGATGTGGACACAGAAGGAAAAGATACTTCAAAGCTGGTTTGTCATTGAGTCTGCCAGAATCTTCCATTGTAACTCCAGCTGCCCTATTCAAATTTGTATAACCTGGCTCCTCTGATCCAAGCCCAATGAGAGTGAGGACCTTGCTGTAGAATCCAGCTTTCCGGGACCCTGCTCAATATACCCCAGGAACCCTGTATTCTGTTGAAAGATTACCCGGCTCCCAGAGCCAATCCCCACTTCAGACAGGAGAACTCAGTCTTGCTTCTAAAGCCCAGGTGTGAGCAAACCCTTGTTTGATGGCTCATCCCCAGGAAGTTCTCAATGGATAAGATCAAGAGGCGGTGTCAGAGCAATCATTGCTACACCTACACCTGAGTGTCCCTTGACCTCTGCTCATAGATATTTATTCACCCATGTCTGTTGAGCCCTGCATGCCAGATATCATGCTAGATACCGGGATTGTACAAGTCAAGAAGGTGTAACCTCTACAAGTTTTCATTGCCTCCACCTGCAATAAAAATAATACCATTTGTCGGGTGGCTTGAACAACAGAAACCCATTCTTGCATAGTTCCAGAGAACAGAAGTCTGTGTCAAGGGTGCCAATAGGGCTAAGTTTTGGTGTGAGATCTCTTCCTAGCATGGAGAGGACAATCTCAAATGGAAGGAGGAAACAGAGAAAAAGAGAGACAGAGACAGAGACAATGTCTGTCTTCTTAAAAGGGGCACTAATATGCCTTCCTTTTGAGAGTGGCAGCAAGCAAAGATAGATCACCATGAAGGCCTCAGGCACACTTTGTGAGTAAAAGGTGGGGGGCACTTCTTGCCTTCCCCAAAGTGCCAAATGCCACCTAGGTACCAAATCTGCATCTTTGTACCCAACCATGTGGTGGCCAAGTCCCGCTTCCGGTGTTTGGTGTCAAGGCTGAAGAAGACGTCAATTAGGGGAGACAGTGCACCATGGACAGGTGTTTGAGAAGCCACCCCTGGGTGAAGAACTTAGGCGTCTGACTGCACCCTGACTTCTGCAGTGACACACATGTACCGAGAGGATCAGGACCTGACCACCTCTGATGCCATCACAATGCTACTGAGACATGGGTGCCCAGCACCATGCCTGTCCACATCCCTGCAGATCATGAGGGGGGAAGAGACTGAAGAGGGTAAGTGCTGCTGGCCAGCTGTCAAACAGCTCCGTGACTCCAAGTTCAAGTTCCTGTTGTGCGGCACCAACTCCGCCACCAAGAGACCCAACTGAGTAAAACTCCAGAGGGTCAGAAAAGGAGGGGGCACTAATACCATCATGGGGCCTCACCACGATCTCATCTAAAGTTAATCCCCTCCCAGAACTCTGTCTTCGTGGGTCATCTAACTGGTTCTCGGGCTTCAGCAGGGAATTTCCAAGCGTTGGGATCACAGGGGTGTTCCCCCACTCCTGCCTGCTGTTCTCCCATTTGCTGATGAGGCTGAACACTTGATTGCCAACTAGTGGCACTGTTTTAGGATGCAGAGACTTGCTGGGGAGAAGGGGTCAGCAGGGGTGGGTTCTGAGATGTTAAGAGTCTGGCTCTCCTTCCTGTCTTCCTGATGAGGGATACAGGGTGACCGGCTGACTGTAGCTTCTTCTGTTGTGCCGTCTTCTCTTGCTGAGCCATTCTTCTTCATTGTCAATCTCTGTTCAGCTTCACTCACGATGATAAAAAAAATGATTATATCTCCTGTCATTAATATCTCCTGTCATTAATATTGTCTGTCATTAATATCTTCTGCAAATTACACAAGATGTAGTCAGCTTTCACCTGTTTGGATCCCAGCGTCCTCCAGTTCTTCCCAGCCTTGAATATTTAAGGTTCTGGCTCTTTCCCATGAAGTACAAGTCCCTCTTATCTTGACCTCATTATGGCCCAGACTTTGCAAGTTCCCTGCATTGACTTCAGTGCCTTCCACACAGCCAAAGCCTGTGTGTCTAAGAGAAGAATTTCTTAGAAAGCAAGTTAGATTAATGAGTGCAACCTGATTCGGCACAGTAAAAATTGGAAGCCGAGGCCGCGGTCCACTGCCCTGGCAACAGCAAGACACGTACGCAGTCAAGGAATACCAAGAGAACCAACCTTCCATGAAGTACACAGGGTGATGGTTGTTTGGGGCTGCTCTGCTTGTAGTAAATAGAATCAAATTGGATGAATTGAGGGAAGTGTAATGAAGAACACAGGAGGATAGAGACAGGAGAAGAAGGAAGAGGTGGAAGAGAAGAGAGGAGAGGAGGAAGAGGGAGGAAGAAGAGGAGGAGAAGGAGGGGCAGTAAGACGCAGGAGGAGTCAGGGTGTGGCACCTTTGGCAGAGTGCTTGCCTCCCATGAGATGTAGCCCTAGGTTTGACCTCCAGCCTGGTGTAATCCAGGTGTGTTAATACACAGTTATAATCCAAACGCTTGAGAGGCTGAGGTTAAAGAATCAGCAGTTTGATTATCTTCAACTCCATAGCAAGTTTGAGGCCAGTCTGGGCTACATGAGACCTGCCTCAAGTAGCAACAGCAAAGGCAGGAGAGGTCAAAGGACAGCAGACCCTTTTGGGGAAGTACGTGCAGTCAGGTAGGTTCTCTTCTAAACCCTGTAGCTGCCACAGGAGGAATCCAGAGAAGTTACAATATGACCCCCAGGGAAGAGACCCTTTAAGATGATGGAGTGGAGGAGTAAATACTCTTAGTTTCTTGGTCCTCCTTGTTTATGGTCTCCAGCCAAATGTTCCCCATGTGCCCAGTTGGCAAAGGCCAACCTCAAATATAGAGAGAATGAGAGAGATGACAGGGATGCAGAATGCAGAATGGTTTATGCTCATGGCCAACACATCTCCCAGAATCTGCCCCTTAACCCAGGAACACACACACACACACACACACACACACACACACACTTTCTGGTAACAGAACCCTGTTATTTCTTGGAGGGAGGTGCTACAAGCCTAACCACATCTTTCAATATCTCAGAATATGACCTTACGTGGAAACAGGTCATTGTTGACATGAGAGGAGAGGAGGGTTTATTTGGTTTACACTTCTAGATCACAGTTCTTCACTGAGGGAAATCTTTATGTGAAAGAGTGGGTCCTTAGTCTAATATGCCTGGTGTCTCTATAAGGAAAAAAAAAATACAGGGTCTGAAGATGTGTCTCAGTTGGTAGGTCCCTTGTCTGGCAGTCACAAAGCCCTGGGTTTCATTCTGAATACCAAATAAATTGTGTGGTGGCAGGCTCCTGCAATCCTAGCAGTCAGAGGGGTAGACAGGAGGACGGAAAAATTCAAGGTCATTCTTGGCCACAGAGCACATTCAAGGCCTAGCCCTAGCCTAGTCAACATGAAACCTTGTCTCCATAAAAGGAAAAGGGAAATAGAAAGCTGGACTTAGAGCTGTGGGGAAGATGGCGGGGGTTGGGGGCGGGGAGCAGAGGTAAAGACTGAGCAGCGGCAGATGTAAGGGAGAGGTCACGAGGGCTAGCCGAAACTGGCACCACCAACGGAAGATGCTTTCAGCCTGCAGCCTTCGGAGGGCATGAAGCCCTGCTAATAACTTAACTTCTGGTCTCCTGCCCCCAGGACTCTGAGACTTCCTGTTTCTTAAGCAGGCTTTTTGGGGTACAGGCTGAGCAGTTCCCGTCTCAAAGGAAAAGAGTCCAAATTACTCCAACCTCTGAAACGACATCAACATCAAGTCACAAGTGGAAAACACCAGAGATGACTTCGTAGGACAGGTGGCAGCCTGGACCCGGGCATACAATGCCTCGTTGTATAAAACTGCCTTCAGGTCATGTGTGTGTGTCTAGCAGATATGAAAAATAGATGAATTTCTTATTTTGACTTCGGTCCCACCTCAGTGATATCTCATTGTGAATATACAAATATTCTGAAATCGCCTTTTGGTCAGGGAAACCATTGTATACCGTATTACAGAATCAGCCCTAGGGGATGAGTAGACCTTAACCTCCCTTCCACGTGGAATCCTGGTGGACTACAAAGTCCATGAAAGCTAAGGGGGTGCAGTGATTTTCGAGGCATCATGAACTTGAAGAGTAAAAATGAGGAAATGAGGGCCTCAATTCAGTCCCCAGCTCTGCCACTTACTGGCCAAGAGGGAGTTAGATGAACCCATCTGGGGGGGGGGAAGCATGTTTGAGGTACGGGGTTCCTTGGCTGGGTTTCGGAAGACATAGAAGAACTCAAAGGAGATGGAGGACACCCTGAGCAAGTTGGAAACCCCTGGTGGCCCTTCTTACTTTCGCCCCTCATCAGAATTTTAGATTCTTGAAGTTCTCTTTCTCCTGTTTCAAGGAGGGAGGTTACTCTCCATACGCAATTCCCTGCATCTAAGAGGTGGGCAGATGGAAAATTCACTAAAGTTACCATTTGCACAAAGCTGATGTAGAAGAAGACAACAGCCAGCCAGAAAGATGCTGCCCTGGCTTCCCAGTGTTCCGCAAGAATCCCAAGTGTCCACGTGGGAAAACCTAAATCAACGTGACCTCTCTAGACCCAGGCTCTTCACAGGGGGACTTGACACTGGTCTCTTTTCGCAGGACCAGTCCCGTGAGAATTGCCTCACCCGACAGCTGCATGATGCCATTCAATTACAAATATGACTCGATCCCTGCTCATGGTGCACCAAGGGCATGTCCTGGGATCTGTTCTAAGCGTGGCCCTGTGTGTACACAGCACTGAGGGGACAGTGTGAGCCTTCCCCTGGCACTGGCAAGCCAAGGCGAAGAGCTGAAGGAGGCTCAGCCAAACCACCTGAGGTCTGGGAGCCAGCAGAGAAGATTAAGCAGCTGTGCACACTCGCAAGGGCACCATCTCCACACTGCCGATCAATGGAGACTACCACACTGCTATTAAAGTGGTGCCAGGCCCCGCCCCTGGTGTAGGTGGCAGAACTGTGAGACTGGAACTCCATGACTCCAAAGTACTTGCTCTTCGTACTGTAGTAGGACACCATTGTCACCTGGGAAATGTACCTGACCACTCACTCCGATGTCTCTGTGTGCCAGGACAGTCATTTCTGTGTGTCCGTGTTAACTCGGTGCCCAGTTCTGAGTACCCACTGTGTGTCAGGAAGTGTCTTAATTAGCGTTACCAGCCAGCTTGACACAGTCTTGAAGCATTTCCCTGAACAGCCTCTGTTGAGCAATTGTCCTCATCAGGTGGGTCGGCGAGCACGTCTGTTGGGGATTGTCTTGCCAGTTAAATGACGTAAGGGCACCCAGCCCCCTGCGAGCAGCGTCGGTCCCTGAGCAGGGGGTTCTGAGCTCTCTAAGGAAGCCAGCTGAATGGAAGCCTGAGTGAACCAGAAAGTCAACAAGGGATGCTCCTCCACGGTTTCTGCTTCGAGTTGCTGTCTTGAATTCCTGCCTTGACTCTCCTCCTGGATAGACGGTGGTGACCTCAGCGACTGTGCATTAAAGGGTTAATGCAAATAAACCCTTTCCTCCCCCACGTTTCTTTTGTCTTACCATAGCAACAGAAATGTTTTACCACAGCAACCGAAATGAAACTAGAACAGGAGGTGTGTTCAAAGCTGTCCTTAGAGGACAGAATGAAGGAGTCACGGTAGTCATGTGGCGTGGGCCACTGGCACTTCCTAGCCGTCCATTATGTTATTTCAAAGCCGAGCAAAGTCCTGCAGCCATAATCAACAGGGTGGGGATGGAAAGAGAGAAAGCGAGAGGCTTGACACCTGGAGCTCGAAGGATGCTTGTTCAAGGAGGTGACCTGTAAGCCATTAGGTCTCCACTGGCACTAATCTGAAACCACTGTGCATCTTCTGGAGACTCTTTGACAGTCTCCACCAGGGAGGAGGGTGCTACTGTGTCCCCAGAGAACCCAAGGGAAGGATGCTGTGAGCAACGCCCAGAATGAAGCATTTTCCAGCTCAAGAGGTCCACACTGCCAAGGTTGAGAAACCCTGATTCTGAAGATAGGCAGGCAGGGAAGTCAGCGCGCTAAGGGATGAGGAAACACTGGAGGTGAAAGGGGCAGCGCACACTGGCATTAGTGCCAGAGCCTCAAGACAGCGTGGTTGCCCTCGGCAAAGGCAAACCCCAGTAGAAGACATGAAGGAAAGGCAAGGTAAGGGGGGCTTCTGATCGTGGACACTTCGTGACAGAAGACATTGTTGGTGTTCTACACCCGACCTGTGAAAGAGGCCCCTATGGGATTCTAAAGACCAGCAGGGAACATGGGGGAAGGACAGACTAAACCAAAAGCAGTGAAGGTAGACAGCAAAAGTGGCCCCAGATGCATTCCGGGGAGTGATGGTTACACCCCAGGCATGAACCACAAGAGGCTGATGGTAACTGGGTAGCAAGGCCCACTCTGTAGGGAGCCCTAATCAAAAGCCGATTGAGGGAATGTCTTAGTTTCTTTCCCTGTTGCTCTTTGTGGCCATTTGAATTCAAAACATCCCTCATAGGCTCTGGTCTTTGAATATTTGGTCCCCAGTTGGTGGTGCTATCTGGGGAAGGTTTGGGAAGTTATGCCCTTGCTGGAGAAAGTGTGTCATGGACAGCAAGTTTTGCGAGTTCAAAGCCTTCCCCTCCTACCTGTCTGCATTCGGCTTCCTGCTTGCCCTTGAGGTGCCCTTGAGGTGTGAGTGCTCAGCTTCTTGCTCCAGCCCCCACGCCTGCCACTTGCTGCTACACCTCCCCACTGGGATGGACTCTAACCTTCTGGAACTGTAAGTCCAAATAAACTCTTTTAGAAGTTGCTTTTGGTCGGGACGTTTTATTATAGCAACAGAAAAGCCACCAATATGCCATCACAAAAGACCTCAGCCAAAGCAAGCTAGAGGAGGAAGAGTTGACCTTGGCTCTAGATTCCAGCGCATGGTCTATGGTGAGGATGTTAAGGCAGCTTGAAGCCTCTGGTCATATTACATCTACAGACACGAAACAGGAAGTAATGAATGTGCCCAAGCGCTCAGTTTGAGTTCTCCTTTTAATACAGTCCAAGATGACCTGCCGAGATAATCTCCCGGAGGCCCATCTGCCAGGTGATTCTAGATTTATGAAGGTGACAGTTAACACGAGCCATGAGAGGGAGGACTTCAAGACCTCAGCCTCACAGATAAATAGCTGGACCTATCCAGTAAAATTGGAGGTGTGTGGTGTTATGGAGAGGCATGGCTTGTCTGGGACTTTAAGCACCTCTGAGTTCTCAGTGCAAATCTAATGTTCTCTTTAATTCCTACCAGGGTTTTGAAGAAAAAAAAAAAAAAGCAATGTTTAGACACACACCTGACCAGGTAAGCTGGATTTCTAAGAGTGGGTACCCAAGCACAAGAAAACTTAAACATCAACCTTCACGCAGTGAGTCTAACACAGTGGTCCTCAGCCTTCCTAATGCTTTGACCCTTTAAAACCCAACCATAAAGTTATTCTGTTGCTACCTCACGACTGCAATGTTGCTACTGTTACGAGTCATAATGTAAATATCTGATGTAAATATCTGATATGCAGGGTATCTGACATGCCACCCGCAGAGGGGTTGTGACCCACAGGCTGAGAACCTCTGGGCTAACACTGGGTGAGGTTCCACATCCAACCGGCTTGAGCTGTTGATGACCTCAATATGCTCAGGGGCCCCCCTTGTGGGCGGAGACGCTCATCTGTGTAATTCCAGAGGAGGCATTCCTGTTTCCTAGCTATATAATTCTGTGTCCTGCTTCAGCTCTTGGCTGAATACCGTCCAAACAACGAACTGCTTGGTCTTGTGTGTTCTGGTGTCACCTGAGGTCCAGACCATCAATTCTCAGATTCTCAGACGGTCTTGTTTGTAGCAATGCTAATCTCCACAGCGAAGTCTCATGGCTTCAACCTGCCTTCCATCTCTGATTTATTTTTTTTTGTCTGTCTGTCTGTCTGTCTGTCTTTCTTTTCTTTTCTTTTCTTTTCTTTTCTTTCCTTTTCTTTCTTCCTTCCTTTCCCTTTCTCCCTTCCTCTTTTTTCCTTTTTTTCTACAGAATCTCACTCAGCAGCCCAGACTGCCTTGAACTACCCTACTTCAGGTTGACCTCAGACCACAAGCAATTCTCCTGCCTCATCCTCTGGGATGATGGGCATGGGCCACCACACTCAACTTGTGATCTTGCTTTCCAAACCTCCCAGTACCCTGCGCCATAGAGCACTCAAAGCCGAAGCTGCCCAGAGTCGGTTCTTTGAGGTCAGTTGGGTACCATTTTCCTTGTTATGTTTGGGTGCCCATCACAGCATTGCTTTATTCCTGGCTCCTCGGGATCCCACAGTCCGTGTGCGTGCCGTGGCTCCTGGGACAAGGCTCATAGATTGTAGGTCAAAACTTCTCAACCTCAGAGCTCTTGATAACAGTGTCACAATTGTTCCTTGTCATGGGGACCACTCCTTGCCTCTGTCAGACGTCCCGGCAGTGGTCCAGCCTTATCACTAGCTGTGGCAGGTCCCCTAGTTTCTCAGTTCCAATGGCACATTACCAAATATTCCCTTGGGAAGCAAACGTCCCCCAAGTTCATAGCAGGTGTTTGATAGGAACGATAAGGCCAAGCCAGTACTCTGAGAATGTTGAAGCAGGTGGAGAGCGAGCAGACCAAGGAATGCCCTAGCTGCCCTTGACAGGAAGAACATGATAAGAGCAAGAGGCTACCTCTCTTAGCCCAGAAAATAGCTGGTGCTTCTGTTCTCTCTGTCTCTCTGTCTCTCAGCGCCTTACCATCCTTTGTCTAGTCTGATTTCCTACGATAGCGTTCTTTCTGAGCACATGTGGCGGGACCAGGCTCTGTCCCAAGCGGGTGGGACACGCTACTTCACTTCGTTCTCCTGATAGCTCAGAGCCAGGAATGAGTGAAGACACATTCCGTAAACACACTGCCCTTCTGAGCCTTAGCTTTGTACTGTGAGGCGAACAGAACAAAGGCAGAGAAGTCCACAGCTCCTGCCTCGTCTTCTTCTACTTCATCTGTGGTCTCAGTCCTTTTGCCATACTTGGGTCCTTCCCCTGGGGTCCAAATCACCACCTCCAAAATGTCTCCCTTTCCCCAGATGTCTTCTTCTCAGCTTGGTCCCTAGAGAGAATTGGCCATCTTGTTCCTTTCTTCTTCCCGGGGCATTCTCAGCGCGTCACTGTCGTCCAGTACGCGTTGGCCTCACCCTGGGCCTTCTTGCCATGGGCTTCGCTGAAGCAGGCCTCTCTGGTGAGTGCTCTAGATGCAAGGATGGGACCCAGTGGCCTCTCTCAGCCCATTCATTCTCTCCTGCATGTGGGCTGTTGTTCACAACTCTGCTCCTTCAGGAGCTCTCAAGTGAACCAGGGCTTAAAAAGAAAACAGCCAGAGGAAGACACAGCACCAAGCCAGCATCTTCAAGTAAAAGATCTAAGAGCTGAAGAAACGAGTGCCCTACAGAGAGAGCTTGCTGTCCAAGGAATGGCCAGGATGTGGAAGAATGAAGGATCAGGGCAACAGTGAATGGAGCTAATATGGAAGAAGCGTTAATGAGTGTGGCCCAGTCAAGTCCCATTGCCCGCATCCTCCTTGGCCAAGGGCTCGATTGGGCTGCAGAGGCGCAGAAAGGGGGTAGGGTGCTATTACTGTATAAATCACCTGATCTGTACTCGTTGGCAGTGTGTGTTCTTAACTGCTTAATCTGTAGAAAAGAAAGCAACCCTAGTTCCTACAAGAGCAAAAGTAACTCAGACAGGTGAAGCCGATTGCTTAAGAGCCCACAGGGAGTGAGCAATCTCCATGAACTTGTGGGTCTTACCAGTCGAGACTTAGGTGTGTGGGGAGGGAGAGGGGAGCCATGCCTGCCATTGTTTCCCTGTATGTTTACAGTCAAACCTCACTGGGTCATTCTTACACAAGTCCTCCTCCATTAGCTTTCGGAACCTAAAGTGGGGCAGAAACACTCCTTCCCTGCTTGTTATGTGCGCTGCGATGTGGAGGACATCTATGGTTGTGACACTCCAGTCTGCCCCCTGGCTCCTCCCTTTCCTGCCTGTGGGAAGTGGACATGGTGAGTTGACAGAAAGAACTGAACAGGAGTGACTTGCCTGGTGCAAAATTCTTCTTTCTCTCTAGCGGAGAACTGGAAAGGTAACAATGAAGAAGCAATCGGGGCTGAGGAGGAAACTCGAGATCACAGAGGGTCATGTAGAAGCACTCCTCTCTGGCTGATGACCTCCTAGCTGACCAGGCTACGCCCCACCCTATGAGCAAACCCTGTGACTTTTCCACCCTGCTTTCACTGGGCATGGCAATGCCACACGCCATAGAGAAGTCCTCCAGGGCTCCCTCTCAGGAACAGGGCTCACATCTCAATCCGCCACCCTGCTTTTAGACTCACTCAAGCAGAAAGAAAGATTCATAAATGGATCCCACCAAACAGAACAGCAGCGTCCTGGGTGTGGAGATTGATTGATGGAAACTACACATCGATCCTAGGTAGTTTTGTCTCTTTTTTTTTTTTTTTTGGTATGGTTCATAACAAGAGGGCACGCACTTAGAATTCTGAATTGACATTTCAAAGGGATGGACTAGAGGGGACAAAGGAACAGAATGGAGAAGATTCTGGAAACTGTAGAGAGTTGATATAAAGGAATAGAAAGACTTCCTGCAAAGAAATGTTGCTGCTAGGACCTTGGGTTTAGAGGGTGGTCATAGAGGCATAATTAGGTCATGTGACCTCCAAAGACACAACATCGCATTCACGGAGCTGTAGTTTGACCAGGCCACACATTGAGGACACAGCCTGATAAGTCTTTGCTCTGTGGTAGAGAATCCAGGAAAATTAGAGGACAAAGGGCAGAGCCAACAAGATGACCTCAGAGGAAGTTGGAAGAACCTCAAAGAGTCAAGGGGCAGAGGAGTAGGAAACTCACAAAAATGCAGGGTCCAGGGAGGCAGAAGTCACTACTCCTGGAAGGGGAGGAAATATGATTGGAAGAGCTAGAGCAGAAATGGAACTCAGGTAATTAGGAAAGCCCCATCAACCATGCAGGGCATCTTCAGAGCCTGGTGGGGGACAAAAGAGCTTCTATCCCTGTCACAACCCGGCAAAGTAAGAACACGCTTATGACCAAGCCTACACAAAGTCTCATCTGGAACAGACCAACAATGAAGTCATCACGGAACAATGGGCCTCCAAGAGCTAGGCTGTGTCACACTGCCCTTTCTGTGCAGGTGACCCCAGCAGAAAGAGCCAGTGTATAAGTACCTAAGCAAGTGGTCAAACTGGACAATACTTTCACAAAAGGGAGGGGGACATTTCTCCAGTGTGGGGCCATTTATTCACATTCTTCCCTCATTGTTGTGTTGGGTCTAATGGGCTCAACCTAGAAGGGACCTTCATCCTGCCTTCAGGCAGCTTTCAATGAACAAGGCAGGGTTGGCTCTGAGACGATTCCTCACTCCCATATAAAAAACAGAAGTACCTACAATGCCTAATCAACTGCAGGCTTGGGGTGTGGCTTAGGGGTGGAGGTCTTCTCTAGCATGATGCCCTGGGTTCAATTCCCAGTACCGCACACGCCAGAGAACTTAGAAAGCTCTGAGCATAGACCTTTATTCTCTCTTTAGTTTGTGTTTTATCCTTTAATAATCTATTTTTAAATTCAAAAGATCCGAAGTTCCAAGATGACAGACACCAAGAGTGTTCAACTTTTAGGACCTCCACTGGACTGCCCAGTAAGTCCTAGAAGACGCCACCAAGCTTTGAACCCTTCATTTGGAGCATAAAATAAAGTTATTTACTTAAAATAAATCTACGTCTCCTCCTGGATCCATCTTGTTTGGAATTTTCAATTCGAAAATATATCTAATACAACAAGCTTTCTGGAGAGCCAGCTGTATACGTGGACTCCTTAGCCAATCAATTTAAAATACTCCCTCAAGGGAAGTAGATGCCGAACCCAGCCATAAGCCGGATTCAAATGTTTCTCCATTTTTTGGTGCTTGAGGGTTTTTTTTCAATCATTCTGACCTTCTCTTTATTAATTTTACAGTCATTTAAAAACTCAAATGACCCTTATTGTTTCAGGGTACCTTAGAGACAAAACATATTCAAACATTCTAGGCACGCTTAATATAACTAGAATACTTCAGACGCAAAGTAGCTTTGACCATCATGGCGAAATGAAGGACTTGAAGAGGGAGAAGATATTCTTCAAAGTTGCATTTGGCATTGTCTCTCACTTAGAACCATAACTGAGAAGAAGCTAAGTTCTATTTAGTGTTACCTCTCCATAAGTAGCTACAGTTTATCCTTTCTTTTCCTGTTTTTAGCACTGGGAATTGAAGTTTGGGCCTCAGCTATATTCTCAGCTCTTTTCAACTTTTTTATTTTGAGGTAAGCTTTGTTAAACTTATAATCCCCCTGCCTCAGCATCCCAAATAGTTGGGATTACACGCCTGTACCACCAGACACAACTTCTTTTAAATTTTTGTTGATTTGAGATAGCGTCTTCTGTAGCTGTCCTCATATTTGTTACCTATCCAAGGATGACCTTGAACTCCCTTGCTAAGATTACAGGCTCCCCTCCCACCGCGTCTTGACTCTCCTTTAAATATTTTTTATGCCTTGAAAAGTCTGACATCGTGAAAAGCAGCTGTGTGCATTGCTCCAACCATTTGCAAAACCCTTTACAATTTCTCTCCTTCCTTCATGTACAGGACTATTTTCCAAAATCCTTTCCCGTCAACCTGTTACCATAGTTTTCCCGCCAGCTCCAGCCTGACCCGAGGAGCATGCAGCGTGATCCAGACATTCAGCTCACTCGCGTCTTCCTGTAGCCTGAGCAGTTTCCCGCATGGCGACACTCCTCTTGGGATTGTCACCTTTCATGACTGTATATTGTTACACTCGAAGGAGGGACCATAGATTTTGGCTGCTTTGGAAATGTGACTGTCTTAACTCATATGGCACTGAGAGTGTGATTTGGATTTCTGTCTGCTCAGTTTTGTTTGGTGTCCACAGCTAGGGATTAATCTTAAGGCCTCTGAATGCTAGGCCGACACTCAACCACTGAGCTGCATCCTTACCTCTCAGCTTATTTCTTTCCAAATTGTATTTTTCTTATTTTTAATTACGTGTAAGTATGAGGTATGTGTATGTGTGCCTTCAGGGGACTGCGGAACTCCTGCACACGTGCCCTGAAGCTGGAGTTACAGCAGTTGTAAGGCACGTCATATGGGATCAAGCGCAGGTCCCCTGCAGGAAGTCTTGTTCTGAACCACTGAGTCATCTCTGCAGCCACCCCCACCCCTGCCCCCGCCCCACCACATCACTTCTTGAAGAGCATTTTCAAATAATGGAATAAAGCCTGGGACTTTACACATCCTGCCCCCTTCCTTCCTCTAGTCCACCCCTACTAAACTCCAAGGCTGCCTGAAACAGCTATTTTAACCCAGGGAATCTTCTTGTTGGTTTTCTGGTTTGTTTGTTTGTTTGTAGATTGTTTGGGGCCAGGGAGACGGTGCTTGTCAACAAGCCCAAAAACCTGAGTTCGAGTCCCTGAACCTACGTGGTGGGAAGAGATAGCTGAGTCCCAAAGCTGCTTGCACTGTGGTACGTACACACACACACACACACACACACACACACGTAATTTTAAAAATTAGGGCTGCAGAGATGGTTCAAAAGTTAGAGTACTTGATGCCCTGCCAGAGGACTGGAGATCAGTTCCCATAACCCACATCAGGTCACAACCACGCACAACTCCAGACTCGGGGGATCTGACAAGCCCTCTGGTGTCCTAGGGCAATTACACTCAAGCACACATACTCCCCAACATGCACATATAGTTGGCTGACTCAAACTCGTTTTAACTTTGTCCATTTTATTTTGAAGCTTCTGGGTAATTTTTTTTGGGGGGGGGCATTGTTTTTTGGTTGTTTTTTGTTGTTGCTGTGGTTTTGTTTTTTTTTTTTTTTTTTCTCATTTGGTTTCATAACTCTGACCTTAGCACAAGCAAGGCAAGTTTCTCTACCCCTGAACTTCAACCCCAGGTCCAAATGTTTCCGTTTAGTAAAGATCTTGAATCTATCCAGGAACAGTACCAAATGTGTGCATCCATTGTGCAGATGACAGAAAAGGACATTTTCATGCCTCTCAAATGTCCTTAGCACTGCTCTAACGTCCCAAAGAACTTCTTAGGAGTTCGTCACAGGGCTCTGCTGCTCACTTAATTTACTGTTGAGAGGACAAACGGGAGTAGATTTCTGTCTTCTTGTCTACCTTGGGTTTTGTGGTAGGTCCCCTCTCCTAGGTCATCCCCAGAAGGGTTAAACGCTGAATTGATCTCCCGAGTGTCTGTACTTCCAGGAGATCCTTTGACTGGCAGGATGCTGTAACTATTTTTGCTGAGGCTGGGGATAACTCGGTGGGTAAAGGACTTATTTAAGCATGAGAACCTGAGTTCAGATCTCTAGCACCCCTGTGAAAAGCTGGTCATAGTAGGAAATGCTGTCATCCACTCACGGAGGGAGCCAAAGGCGAGAGGATCTCTGGGGCTTGCTAGCAAGTCAGTCTAGCTAACCAGTAAGACCGAGAGAAACGACGAAGACACCCAAGATCAACCTCTGATTGCCCCAGAGAGACAGAGTCAGGCAGGCAGAGACAGAAATACCTCCAGTGTACTTAAAGGTTCTTGTATTCTTTCTTTCATGCAACTGGGAAATACAACAGTTACGTTTGACCTAGAATGATTCCGGAAGCATTGGGTGGTTGCTGCTATACAAACTCAAACCATGATTCCCTGTGCTGCTTCTCCCCAGCCATCAGCCATCTGAAATTCAAGCGAGGCCCAGGACCGCAGCTGCATGCTTCCAGGTGACACCAGTTAGCCACCAGGTGACTATCTCACTGACTGACCGCACTGTTTGCTTTTAAACTCTCGGGCGGGAGCGCATCTCCTGCACCCCCACATCCCAGCAAGAACCGAACTGTGCTCGGGTAAAGACAGAATTTTGCTCCTGGGTTTAAGGTAAAGGGTAAAAACAGGAAAAGAGACAGAAACGTTAGAGCCTGTGTCTCAGTGAATCGCCAGACCTGTGGTTTTCTCCGAACCACACCCAGGGGCCACGGCTGGAGGTGATGATCAACGTCACACAGGACTGACCACCTCCTCACAAGATTCCTCTACTAATAACCTTTCCTCCTCTTTTCACAGGCCTTTCTGGGTTAGGATGACTTTGGGGAAATCTAATTACAGCCCTTTCCGAGCTCCAACTTCACCACCCAACAAACCCGTTTTACAACTCAAAGGAATCTAATTTGGCCTCGCGCTTACGTTGGAATAACACACCAAACAAGCGAAAAGCTGGCAGCTCAACTAATGAGACTAGATTTGGGCCACACTGCCAACTCGATCTAATTAAGAAGCACCAGCGCGTTAACGACACTTGAAGGGGAAAGGTTCGAGGAGGACACGGGGTTCGCGATTCATGAGAGCAGCGGTGTCCCGAGAGACAGTCAGCCCAGCCACCTTCCCTCCACACCTAGGGAGGTGAGCGGTCCTGGAGCCGGGATGAATCGAAGGTTCCGAATATTCAGAACCCAATCCCAGCTAAGCCTGAAGAAGCCTGCCGTGTCCCGGTACAGCCACACACGTGAAATGATGCCATTTTTACTTATTAATATTTATTTCTAGGAGACGAACAGACTCATTGTATAGAGAGATGCCCCTGACCAACTGTCAACTTCTGTTTTACTACCAGTTTCTCCCAAGGCATTTCCAAATAAAAGGACACTAGAATAAAAAAATAAAAAAGCACAGTGAAAACCACTTGGGTGTGAGCTGCCTGTCACTCACTCAGTGTTTTACATTCTGCCAAATCTAACAACATCCCACCGAGGCACTGTGTTGGGTCCTGCTCCAAATGACACTCACAGCAACGCCAAGCACTCACCTGTCACCAGCACGGCCTTTTGATCCACAGGTAACAATTCTTGATCGGTTGACCACATACCCAGGAAGAAGCAGGACAGCGACAAGAGGAACAGGCTGCAGAGAAGGGACAGGTGGAGCAGACAAGCACCTCCCCAGAGGGCAGCAAGGCACAGCACCTGGCTGTGCCACTGCCCCGGGCTCTTGGCTCTGCAGAGAAGCATGCCCCCCAGCACTGCAGTGGCAGCCAAGGAGAGCCATGCTGACTCAGAGAAAAACAGGCTCATTCTCCACCGGCCTTCGTTTGCTCTGGGCCACTGAGGACTGTGTGTGTGTGTGCAAAAGCTAGCTGGAGGCAGCCCGGCTTATATGGAGGGAGAGGCGCGAGGGGAGGGGGGGGCAACAGCCCCCGCACCTTTTGCGTGGAACGTGTTAAATGTGGTGATAGGGAAAGCTACTCCCAGGAGGTCATCTAAGCTGTCAGCTGTGATATAAATACCAGACCCACCCCACCCGCTCATTCCCCTAACGCACTCAACACTCGCACAATCGCTCAGAAGCAAACACACACATTTAAGGCTTGATGTGTGAGGACCTTCCCACCTGAGAGATGATTATTCGGGTAATGATTGACAGAATTGGAATTACAAGCAGGTAATCTCCTTTGGATGTGCCTTCCCCTGTGTTTATTGAGTCCTTCTGCTAACTCCGAATGTCTGTGTGTGTGTGTGTGTTTATCCAGGTAATCAATGAAGCTTAGAAAGAGTAGTCTAATAAGATAGCATGTCTGATTTGATTCATGTCTAGAGAATTACCGCCAACTGGGACAGGCGAAGGGCTCAATGAACCAAAAGGAAGAGACTCCTTAGTGGGAGATGAAAAGTGCCTATGTCTTGCTAGAGGCAAGTTGTACCAGGGAGACACCATAACAATGGCGACAGAACTGGGAACAGTTGCTGTCAGTGCTTTCTGGAGACTCATGCTCAATACTGATTCATGCCACTGGTTGAGGTTCTGTTCTGGATAGCAGGACTCAGTATCAAACTAAGTTATCCTATGATGTTTCTACTCATGTAGCAATAGCAAGAGAGGCAATCCAACCAAGAAAAGAAAGCTTCGGGAGGGAGTCCAGCAGGCTGATCCCTGAGCACCGTTTGAACCACAGTCATTGTCTGCTACCGGAAAACAAAGACAAAGCAGACCCTCCTTTTGCTCGGCTTGCCTCTTACACAATCCTTTGTTAGACTCAGCCGGTAAACAAGAAAATTCAGGCTGGGAGAGGCTGCACGTATTCAGAGCAGGGGATGTGGATCTGGACACCAGTGACTCACCAGCTCAAGCGTCATCCTGGGAAGACTGGGAAGCTATCTCAGTCCCTATGCGTATGCATCCACGTATAATATACCATGTGCACACGCACTTGCATACCTGTAGGCTCTCTCTCTCTCTCTCTCTTGCACATGCAGACAAACCACCAGTCCCAATAATAATACCCAAGGGGAGCTCCTACTGGGTTTGATGGGCCTGGCATTTGCTGGCATCTCCTAGAAGGGATGAGGATCCTGATAAAGGGCAGACGTTGGGGACATTGAGGAAAGAAGAGATCTCACTTTAGGTTCAGATGCTCATAGTTAAAGCCCATTCCACGGCCCACGGTTGCTAAGGATGAGGTCATATTGGCTAGATAACTTTCATTCCCTCCACTCTTTCTCTCCAGATACCAAATAACAGTGTCCCTCTCCTGGAACCTGGACAGGGCCTCAGAAAGGGTACGGAATTACAGAATAGAAAGAGAACAAAAGGAGAAAGGTGTAGTAGAACATGGTGCCCTGCTGAATACGGACTTTTCCTAGAATTGGTTCTCGAGCAAAGGGTGCGCAGAAGAGCAGGGCTGATGGGAAGAGCCTAGCAATATGGGTAGAGAGGGAGGCAGGATTTGCTCAGGACTGAACCAGGCAGCAAGGGCTGTAAAAAGATGCATGGGGCCTTAGGCAGGGAGGCAGAGAAACCAGCTTCTGGCTCAGATGCACCTCAGGAGAGTTTCCCTAGGGCCAGTGTAGCTATAAAAGGAGGATGAGGTGTAGGACATAGGCTAGTTCAAGACCCAAGGGAGGCAGGCTAGGAAGCAGGAACGTGTGAGCTACACTGCACGGTGGGACCATGGGGGGAGTCAACAGAGCCTATCTGAGAGACCGGTGTGGTGTGGTGGGAAGTTATCTCCACTGACCAGCCTCACAGACAGCTGCGGTAGAGAGCTACCGGGGACTCCAGGTCAGGAAATTTAGGGTGGTGGGGCTGTGGGATTGTTGACTGACCCCAACAACGTTTCATCTCTCCTTCCGCAGACCCTATTCCATCCTGGTGCTGATTGTACAGTCATCTAGTGGACTGAGAACCTCTTACAGGAACAGGAAGTTTCTGCTACCAACCAGTAGATTAAACAGTTTCCTGGGACTGGAGAGATGGCTCAGCGGTTAAGAGCATTGCCTGCTCTTCCAAAGGTCCTGAGTTCAATTCCCAGCAACCACATGGTGGCTCACAACCATCTGTAATGGGGTCTGGTGCCCTCTTCTGGCCTTCAGGCATACACACAGAAAGAATATTGTATACATAATAAATAAATATTTATTTAATAAATACTTTCCCATGTGGGCATATAGGACTAGCTTTGGCTCTTTCCTGGGGACCTTGGCACTATCATTTCTGGATTGGGGCTGGACCAAATATGCTTGTATGGTTCTCCCGACAAACTCTTGCTCGTCTGAGACCAGACAGTTCTACAGGCAGCCCACAAGGTTGCGGGGGAAGCTGCCTCTGTGAAACACGGGAAAACCGCAAGTGTAGGTACTCCCCATCCTAAGATGAAAAGGGCACTGCGATGGCCCACCACCTATTATCTGAGATTTTAGGCAAGATTCCTTTCGTTCTGGACCCTGTTTCCTACTCAGCAAAATCGGGGTTGGGGGCTGTTTTGAAAAGTGAAGGACCTGGTCCCTGCACCACGCCAGACACTGGTGTCCAGTCGAGAAGAGAAGCCTCTTGGCTCACTGTTCCAGGCTGGCCCTCGCCTCCTCTCAACACTTTCCACAGCAGCAGGGACGCCCTGACCAGCTTTTTCTCAACCCTCTGTTTTCCTAATCAATTTGTCACCTGGCTCTTCCCTTGTCACCCTTCCCGCGATATGACATCAGCTCGGGGGGTCATCTGCTCACGCTCCACCCAGATTCATTCCCTCTGTCACACTTAGTTCACAGTTGCGAATCTGTTTGTGTATTCTCACAAATGTTTTCCTGCTTCTTCCGCTAGAACGTGATTCCCGAGGTCAAGGACAAGCCCTGCCTGTAGGCTGGGAACCTTGGTGGCACTGGTATTCTTTCCTTTGCGGTTCTCATACTGCCTAACCCTAATGGGGGGGGGGGGTAGAAAGGAAGGCCTTTAGCCAACCCGGCAACTGGTGCAATTGCGGTTTCCAGACGAACACCTACCTCAGGCCATTCTGATCCCGGAATTCCTTCGGTTGGGAACTTGAGGGTCTTTGCCGATCTGAGAATCACTCAACCTCTCGGCAAGGACTTCTAGTCTCAGTTGTGACCTTGTGTCTTCCAGTTTGCCGCTGTCGTTTTGAACTAGAACTGTCCTTAAGGCCGTCCTTGAGAGGTTAGTAGTATCCTGTATCTGGCAGGCTCTTGTCCAGATTCCCGAGGAGAAAGGACAGCTGCATCAAGTCATTCTTGTTGGTGAAGTCCCTGGGTCGGCGTGCTGTTGTTCGCCAGGTTGGAGAGGCCTTTTAGAAGACACTTTCTACAGATGACAGCTTACTGTATTAGCCGCTTTTTTTATTGTGCAGCAAAATAACTGATAAGAAACAATTGAATGAAGGAAAAAATTATTTTGGCATAAAGTTTGAGGGCGCAGTCCACCATGGCGTGGCGTGCAGCATGGAGCTTGAGGCTGTAGCACATCATACCCGTCTGCGCTCTATGTGAGGCCATACAGTTCGTGAACCGGGCAAGGGGCTGGAGATTGAAACACACAAACACTCACAGACAGAGACACGGGTCATCCTTGAAACAGGAGTGCCCCTTTTATTGTGTTCAGGGACAGCTTATATAAGGATCTTTAACTGATAGCCACGCCCCAGCCAAACCCACCAGAAATCACTCCCCTGCCATCAGGAACTCCCGAGGGTCTCGTGCACAGAGCAGCTGCAGGCTGTCTCAGAGCAGAGGAAAACAAGTTGTTTACAAGAAATTCAGGATCTGGGGGTTCACAGCTCCCAACATGAGGCAGCTGGTTGCATGGCATCCACAGTCAGGAGGCAGAGAGATGAATATCCGTGCTCAGTTGGCCTTCTTCTTTTTATTCAGTGCAGGACCCCAGCCCAGGGATAATACCACTCCCGTTCAGGTTGAGTCTTCCCACCTCAATTTAACCTTCAAAGACACACCTAGAGGTGTGCTCCCACCCAAAGGTGTGTTTCCACGGTTGTCAGGGTTGATGTCACATTTACCAAAGGAGAGGATTTCCCAAACTGGGCAACAGTAAAAAGGCTAAGAAGCTGCGAATGTACACTCCGTTAATATCCTTGACTCTTGAGTGTAGGTGGTTGTGTAGAGGACTTCCCTTCTAGAGCGGGGATTCCCTCTGAAACATCGCCACCTAGTGGCCATTTTCGTTACTGCCAGGACACCTCCACGAACACGCGTTTCTTCGCACCTTGGACGGCTCTGTACAAGACAAGGATTCTCTCTGGTTTGGGTGCACCGGACCTTGGCACTTGTCTTCCTTTCCCAGTGGGAGCCACATGAAGACATCTTCCAGATGCCTGAACAAGGTAGCTCTTCCAAGTTGGTGACCCCTTCATCCTCTCAGGTGATCCTGAGGCATGGTGGAATATGTTTGATCTGGTGTTGCCATCCTCAACGAGCCACATGCCCAAGAGTTCCAACAGCACTGAAATGAGGGTCTTGCAGGCGCTAGGTAACATTTTAATATAGTAAACGGCACCTGGTGATGTACTGAGCACAGAGTGATCATGTATTAGTGTGACCTTGACGCAAGGTCAACATACAGACCCGACACAGGACGTAACATAATCTCAGAGATTGGGGGGGGGGGGGTGTGCAATGTTGCTGAGAAGACACGCGCTTTTTGAGTACCTGGGGGATGATGAATATTTTGTGTATTCAGCTGTAATTGTACAAACCTTGTATCTTACGCAATTCTTCATTTCACACAGCGAGAACTAGAACACCTGGAGCTGGATGCTCCCATATAGTGCCTGCCTCCCAACATGCATTTACACCCCGGAACCCACCTAAAAACCTAGGCATCGTGGCAATGTGTTTCCAGGACTGGGGAGGTAGACACAGGTATATCCCTGCCGCTCACTGACCTGTCAGCCCGGACAAATTAATGAGCTCCGCGTTCGGTGAGAGACATTGTCATAAAAAGTAGCGTGAAGAGCCATCAAAGAAGACCCTAAACATCAATCTCTTGCATCCATATTTGTGCATACACACATGCACATAACACATGGCACACACATACACACATATATGCACACACAATGCCAATAAAATAAATCCTTTTGAAAATAATAACCGTCTTCTCACTAAATTGATTCATTTACACTTAATGTAAATACCCGTGTATTTAACTTAAATCCATTACTTGACTGTCTGATCATTCTACATGACCTTTCAACTTTCCTGTCTTCTCTTGAATGCCCCTCCCCCCATGCTCCACTCTCACCTCTCACTGTGTTGACATTTCTGAGTTATTTGCATTTCTTTCAGTGATTGTGGAGAAACTTGTCAAAGTTCATCATGATCTGGTGTGCTTGCTACATTCCCAGATAAGTCAGGACATTTGACCTCTTAGAAGCCATGGCAGTGCTGGCCAGCAGCGCGGTGATACTGGCCCAGTGGGTGCCCAGCATTAACGCTCCACACCCCAGCACCACCGAAAGTCCTTTCTTCTTGCATATTGATGATGAGGGATATTTAACGAAGACATACAACAGCCGGAGAAAATAGATTCATTCTGAGTTGTTGTTCTGGCATAGGAATGGAGTCCAGAACCTTGCTCACTCTGGAAATGCCCTTCCACTGACCCCTGGTCCCTCTCTGGGGGATTCTAGACAGGCAGACTACAGCCGAGCCACTCCACCATGCCTCTGTGTCATAAATTCTAATTATCCAGATATGTCAGATCTGTTTGGCTCTGTTGTATTTCTTTCCCGTGGAATAAGCCTCTTGTACACTGTAAAGATTTATCACTCAAATTGGTTTAATAAAATGCTGATTGACCAGTAGCCAGGAAAGAAGTGTAGGTGGGGCGACCAAACAAGGGATGATGGGAAGAAGGGCAGAGTGGCAGGCAAACACAAAGAGGCAAGATGAGAATGCTGCACTGCGAAAATGAAGAAAGCCACGTGGCAAAGTATACATAGAAATAATGAAGTGTAAGAGTTAGCTAGTAATGAACCTGAGCTATTGGCTGAGCATTTATCATTTATATTAAGCATCTGCGTCAATCAATTATTTGGGAAGCAGCTGCTAAGTATTTGGAAACAGACAGGCAGGAGATAAACGTCCAATTAAGTTTCTTCTTATATAGTCAACAATCATTAGATTTTTCTAGCAAATTATTACCTACCTCTTGTTGCTTCTTGTTCTCTAGTTTGTCTCCAAGTTCACTGCTGAGATCACTTTCCCTTTGTGTTTCCTTAAAGTTGGGAGTTGGGGATGACATTGCTCAGGCTTTGTTTTGCTGAAAACATCAATTCATCTTTTCCTTTGAGGGATATTTTCAGCTGGTATAAAATTCCCAATTGGCAACTTTCTCTTTCAGTGTTTTGGTGCTTTTGAGGGAAATTTTAAAATCTTTAAGCTGATTTATTTATGCAAACTCTTCTGAAAAAAAAACCGTGCATGTATAGTGCATGTGTCTGTGTGTGCACCTGTGCATGTATGCATACATGTTTGTATGTATATATGCATGCACATGTATATATTTATGTATGTGTGTATGGGAATGAAGGCACATGTGTATGTGTGTGTATGTGTATGTGCATGGTACATGTGTGTTCATGTATGTAAGTGTTGGCAGGTATAAGCTACAGCATAAAAATAAGAGTCAGAGGACAACTTCTAGTGTCGGTTCCTGCCTTCACCTTGTCTAAAACACCATCTATTTGTCATTCATCTGATGTGTACTGCAGGCAAGCTGGCTCATGAACTTCCAGGAATCTCCACTTCCTGTCTCTTAGCAGAAGAACTGGGCTTCTGGATGTGAGATACCACATCTGGCTTCATGTGGCTCCTGGGGATCCAAATTCAGGCTCTCAGGATTGAACTGTGTTGTGATTATTTCTGGTCAGCCTGACACAAACCTAGGGAATGCCTGGGAAGAGAGGCGCCCAGTGAGGAACTCCCTCTATCAGATTGGCCTGTGGGCTCCTCAGTGGGGACATTTTCTCCACTGGCGATTTGTGTGGGAGGGCCCAGACCACTGTGGGCAGTGCTGCCCCTGGGCAGGTGAGCCTGGGCTGCACAGTAAAGAAAGCTACCTGAGTAAGCCACAGGAAGCAAGACAGTAACTGGCGTTCCTCCATGGTCTCTGCTTCAGTTCCTGCCTCCAGGTGACCGCCTTGAATTCCTGGCATGGCTTCCCTCAGATTGTGGCCTGTAAGCTGTAAATCAGATAAATCCTTTCCCCCTCATGTTTCTTTTGGTCAGGATGTTCGTCACAGCAACCAAAAAGCAAGCTAGGACTTCCGGCCAACACTTTACCCATTGAACCACTTCCCTGTCCTTGTTTACCAAACCACAATAGGCTCAATCCTAATGACTGTCTATCTTTTCCAGAATGAACATCTTTAAGCGTTTTTAAAGCCCCTTGTGATAAAATTGACTTCCTGTCCTTGTGAGGTATTTTGTTTGTGTTAAAATGAAAACTTTGAAATTATAGGAGACTAGGATTAGTCCCGGCTCTCCCTTTCAGCACCAGGTCTTGGAGGAACTCGAAGATACATATCTTCCAAAGATTTTGTTTGCTTTGATTTCTTAGGGCACCTGAAGGGGACCAGGGGCCCTGAGCCTACCACCAAGTTAGACCCTCAGCCCCTTCCATGGGCTTTTCTAAGTGTTTAAGTAGGACATGCATGAAGCCAGCATTCACTGACAGTGTGCATGCCCCGTGCCATCTCTCAGTCTCAAGGACTAAATTAAGAATGCAAGGGAAATAAAAGAAACATGCTCTCCGCTCCCAGGGAACCTACAGTCCATCCAGGAGAGAAGGCCAATAAATAAGCTCTTACCAAACAAGCATGGCCAACATGGGAAGCGTTCACAAGCTGGTGTTAGTCGTATAATATGACTTTGCTTTGCCAGGTGAGGGTCTCAAGTCCCTGACTGCAGCGCAGAGTCATGGCATTTACAGTTTCTGGTTACCAGGGTAGTCAGTGCATCAGAATATCTATTCATTGGATTATTGTATTAATTCCTGGTGAATTCTCTCTCTCTCCTCTGTTTCTGCTTCTCTAAGGGATAGGGGGCCAGTCTGTGGGTCACAGCATGGGGTATTCTCACCTGTGTCTCCAGAAAGAAGATAAAAAAGAACCTGGCATGAGATGATTCGAGATAAGACATTTCAAAATCTGGGAGCACCGCTAAATATCAAAACTGTATCAGACCATAAGCCAGATGTTCCCAGAACTTTTCATCCCTTTTTTCCCCCCTCTGATTGAAGGGAGAAGTTTTCGTTCCTAAAGAAAACAGTGAGTGGAAATTGCTATCACAAAACGTCGATTCGTGGTTCATGGTTATTTAAAATGAGCTCATTTGACAATAACCAAAGACATGCATGATGATTTATAACAAATGTCATTCATTTCAGTGGTATTTATCGTGTGTATAATGTAAAAGCAGTCCCAGTGGATTACCATAAAGGTTTTCTACATAAACAATGGTGCTTTTATTTGATGGACCGCTATGCGGCCACTAAAAATCCCATTCTTGAAGAATACTTAATGACTTGAGAAACGTTCACCATATTTTTAAAGCAAGAAAATCACATTCCAAGGTAGAATGTGTGGTGCGATTCTATTTTACCTCTTCAAAATTCAGATTATCAGATGAAGCCTCCTCTGCTTATGGGATCCAAGATTGATTCAATTCCCAACCCCAGGACTCTCTGGTTCAAGTCCCAAGATGTCTGGTGTCTTTTTACATCTCCACCTGCTACTGTCTCCTCTACACCCTGGGTTCAGTATGAAGTTCAATCTCCCTCATCTGTCTGAAAAACATAATTTGTAGGCGCAAAGTCAACGGTGCCGCTGTTTCTCATACCTTTGTTTCTTAGGTGTTGGAATGGAGCTCATGAGGGCGATAAACATGGCATTGACAGATTGCTGTGACGTAAATGAAAGGTTACACCCGTCCCCCAGGCCAGGAGCCATGACTACAGCCTTACTAGATAAAGAGGACCATGCAGATATAAGTAGGGGTCTGGAGGGCTTCTTCTTGGATTAGTGTGGCTCCAACCCAATGACATGTTTCTTCATAAGAGTCTAAAGAGCATCGGAAGAGATGGCTCAGATATTAAGAACATGCATTGCTCTTTCAGAGGACCGAGGTTTGGTTCCCAAAACCTGCATGGTGACTTACAAGCATCTCTAACTCTAGTTCCAGGGGATCTGATCTCTAATTCCTTCTTCTGGCCTCTGTGGGTACTGCCTATGTATAGCACACATGCATGCAAGTAGGCAAAATGCTCACGCACATAAGATAAAGATAGTAATAAAGCATCTAAAGAAAAGACCTAGAGGGGCTGGAGAGATGGCTCAGTGGTTAAGAGCATTGCCTGCTCATCCAAAGGTCTTGAGTTCAATTCCCAGCAACCACATGGTGGCTCACAACTATCTGTAATGAGGTCTGGTGCCCTCTTCTGGCCTGCAGACACACAGACAGACAGAATATTGTATACACAATAAATAAATAAATAAATAAATAAATAAATAAATAAATAAATAAGACCTGGATAGACACAGAGCCAAGGCCACTTAGAGGTAGAGGCAGAGATTAGACATGCTGCCACAGTCTGAATCCTGGAGCCACCAGAAGCTTGGAAGTGCTGGCTAGTAGCTCCTCCTAGAGCATACCACAGGCTCTACCTTCCTCGCCCTGAGGAAGTCCATGACCTGAGCTTACTTCTCCTACACCTTCTCCATCTCAGCCCCAACTTCCTCTTTCCAGCAGCCCAGCACGGGGGGGGGGGGGGGGGGGGGGGGGGGCAGAGCCATGAATTCCAAGACAGTGGAACAGGAGAATTAAGCTTATTGGCTTCTACCCTCTTTCCCACATTGATTTTAGCACCTCTGATGGACTTCTGTGGGTGGGCGTGGCCAAGGTGATAGGCCGTCCCGACTCTCTTCCATTCAATCAGCCTTGAAATTAGAATGAGATTGGCGTAATATTTTTAAGACAGTGTTATTGATGTATAATTCGCGTATTTCACAATCTATTCACTCCGTGTGTTCAATCCAATGACTCA